ACTTTAAACATTTAGGTTAAGATGTTTTTTTTATTTAATTTGGAAACTACATAGTTAATTTGAAGTGTATTCTAAATTTCCATCTTTCTACTGTTACTATATCTTTTTACAATGAAAACTCAATTAAACCGATGGCAAAACCCCTTTTCAGATGTTTACAAGATGCTGGAGCTTCAGCGTGTCTACGTCACTTCCTGGCTGTGATTTGATTGGTTAAAAGTAAACAAAACCCCGCCCCTTTGCACTGACTAGTTGCTCAACACTGGAAAGCTAATCTGAAAGCTATTGCAGCTGCGGTTCATTGTTCGTTAAAGGGTCACGGCAGGACAAAGAAYAAACAGGCTGACTTTGAGGTTAGTGTCTAATTTAACTGTTCATAGCTGTGGAATGATGCTGAGCAAASTGAACAAACATTAGCTAACTAGTCACACAAAACTGGGCGTTGCTGCTCGTGATTGATTAAGACCAGTCTGTTTTACTCAGTAATGCTGAAGAATCATTTACAAGCCAAGGTARAAACTAGAGCTAGTTAAAATGCGATTATTGTTTCAAAAGTAATAAGTTTTATTTCTTATTCTGGACTAAAGTTCGCTCACAGTGAGAAATCGTGTGTTACGAAGTTTTAGAGATTGCAAAGTTGCCTAAAATAAAATTTGACAAAATAATTTTATCACTAATGCTTAGAAACATTTCAGTCTTTRGGTAATATTTTTAGCTGGTTTATTGTTACATTTTGTAAGCTATCATCTAAAATTGTGACCAAGTTTGAGAGTAGGAGCCTTAAATAGTTTTGGTATTTATCTCCTTTTAACAACGTTTTATTTTGGTAAAACTACTAGAAAACCTCTCACAAGCAAGAATACAGAAGTATGATTCTGTAGAGTGTAACATATTTATTCCTCCTCATATAACTTCAACAATTCCTAATAATCCAATGACTGTTTAGTATGATCCTCACAGGTCACTCAGGTGCTAGTAAAAAAAGTTTTGGATAATTGGTACTTTCAGTTCTTATAGACCAACCTTTGTCTTCTTGATTATTGTTCCTTATTTTGCTCACATTGGTCTCATTTGTTTTTCTCGTTTTTGGTGTAAGGGTCACCAATCAGCTACAGCTGTAGATAATCTAACCCAGTGGTTCCCAAACTTATCTTCTGACCCACAAAATATCCATGGCAAAAACTTGTGACCCCAAATATTACTGGTCTGAGTACATGAACTTCGTTAATAACCCTAAAAACACAGGCTTTTTGACAATCTAAACAGCTTGTACACAAATATAAATACTTATTTATAGTTATTTTGTGTTTTTGTAATACTTATAGGGAAAATTTTACATCAGCAATTATTTTATTACCCTTTAAAATGATTTCTGGAGATTATCCAAGGTGTTTTATGACTCATAATTGGGTCCCACGCCCAACTTTGGGAACCAAAGTGCACTGGTTCCCAAACTTTTCAGCTTTTGACCCACAAAATAACAGTAGCAGAGACCTGTGCCCCCAGCTATTTCTGGATGATAAACATTTGTATCAGGTCAACTAAACATGGGCATAGTAACAATATTTTTATACTACATTTATCCATTTTATATACACTAACCTCACTCCTTTGTAACAACTAAGGCAAAAATGTAATTAATTCAGAAAATCTTTTCAGGACCCCACCTTGATGTTTCGGGACCCCACTATGGGTCCCGACCCCAACTTTGGGAAACACTGGTCTAACCCTCAAAATAGCTGTGATTTGTTTCCTTTTTTGACTTTTTTTTTCTCTAGTTTATTATGGAAAGTAAAACATTAAATGGCAAGTGTCTTAGTACTGTAGCTCTCAGAAGATACCCCGGTCGTAATATCAAAGGTCAGACTGAGTTTTAGTTTTGTAGAGAGAAGGTATGTTTTGTGAAGATGTGAGGGTTTTTTTTTTTTTTAGGGAAGAGGCTTGAGAGGATTTTCATGGGTAGAATTCAGTTGTCAGTGAGATTATTATTTCTGAATGACTATAAGTGTGTGTGTGTGTGCCTCAGAATTATTGCAGGTTTATCTCGCGCTTGTCTTCAGCTCAGATAGAGGCAGACTTTGATTTGTAATAAAGCCAGTGAAGTTGTCACCATCTGAGACTTGGATAAAAACGTGTTGCTCAACYGGTCTGTTGCAACAAATTGTAATCTTCCATCACACAAAGCCCAGAGAAAAAGTCTAGAGCAGCAAAGTTCATAGAAACATCAGGGAAAGTATTTTACATATTGGTTCATGTTGGATGTGTGAAATGATTAAACAGCTTTTCTGTTGAAGCCGGGCTGGAYGATATGGCTGAAAAATGTATCATGATATAAGCTTTTGATATCGGTTGATATTTATTTGAAATAAGGACCAGGAGAAAAAAGTCTGATTAATACCGTCAAACTCGTGACGTGACCTCCTCTCCTCTTTTATCCACAATTTCCTCTCAAGCTGTTGCACTCATTTTCTCCTTTCAGTCCACGTCATTCGTTGTTATCTTTAAGAAGTTATGAGGCACGGTGACGAAACATGAAACTGCTGCTGCGCATGTTACTCAACGAGTTGTTGCTAGCTTACCAAATAGTGAGTTGATGCCACCAACCTTGCCATAGCCAAGCCAGATAAAACGTTGAGTGGCTAAAACTGTTCCTCTGCCTACATTCCCCAGAATGCCATGTGGTCCTGGTTTGGAGTTCAGTAAAATTATCAATTGGTTGTATTTTCTGTTTATATTAATCTTGTGTCTATCATGGTATTATCATTATTTTATTGCCCAGAGGTTGAAGCTACACGCAGCCCAGTTTGTCGTCTTTATGAGCAGTGTCTCCAGTCATGTTGATGTGACTTAATGTAGCAAAGGATTTTTCAGTCTGGTTCCAGTTCCCTTCATGTTACTGGTGGTCATTTCCCCTGTAGAAAGATCAGACATCAGTTCATGTGTTGTAGATGTCAGCTTCAGCATTAAGCGTGCCAAACACTCAACAGTGTCTCAGTAAAGACAGGTGTAGTCCATTTTTGTCTCGGTGTGCCATCTGTTGGAACAAAAACAGATGTCATCCACATGTTCTGAGCACTAGAGGGAAATTGGATTTATTTGGTTTTTACTCAAATGTATTCTGTGTCTCAAAATAAAGATACAAAACAGACAATAGCAGGGATTTCCTGCTGCGCTGGATGTTACATGAAGTTATTTTTTATTTATTTTATTTATTCATTTCTTTAAAAAACAACATACTTTCAACATACAACAAAAATACAAATCATAAATTAAATGAAAGGTAGCAGAAGAAGAAAAAATCTTATATCTGCCCCTTTTTCTCAAATAAAGT